TCAAGTTCAACCCATCGTGTTTTATTTGGTTTATGTTTTTAGATGAATTTGAGGTCCTTTCAAAAGGGCATGTGCTCTTTAGTTCCCCACTTCCCCGACACTCCCTGTCATCTTCAGCCTCCTGCCTGCTCACACAGCACTATATCACCTGCCTGAAAAGTCATCCAAGTGCGCAACCCCTGAATTAAAGAGTTTATTTAATCAGTAGAAGAAAATTGTAACTAGAAGGAAAATTCCAATTCTTTACACTTTCTTAAATGCTTTTTCTAATGATTTTTCACAGGAGGTGCTGAAGAAAGAGATTGGCAGACTAGAAGAATTCTTTCAAGATGGAAATATTTGTCGCCTTCCTCTGAACCCTGCCCTATGTATAAAAGGGATTGACCGTGATGTAAGTCAGTTATTCAGTGGATAAATTGAGTATGCATGTTTTGTATTGTTTAGTTCACTGTATATTTTTGAAATAGCAAAAAGAATTCATAAACATTGAAATTATTGTAAGGAAAAAGTAATTGAATCTCATCCACACTGCATTCTCCCTTGGATGCACTCTGACCAGCTGACATCACATTGGCCTTGTCATATACTAATAGTCTTTTCATTTGGAAACAAACTATCCATCAGTTCAGTGAAAAAAAATTAAGGTACTTATCACTGGATTGATTTCTTGACTTATTCAAAATGATGGATTTGGTGACCCCATGCAGGCTGGGTATAATTTCATGCTTTATTTAGATTATGTGCATCACCATGCCTAGTACATGGATATTAATCATTAGCTACAACTTCCTCATTCTGATTCAATTTAAAATTCATTTGATGCTGATATGTCAGTGTGTCATATAATGCATTTTGTGATTCTCTTCAGGTCTGGAAAGCCCTTCCTGGCATTGTCAGATTCACAACTTCCTAAACCTTTTCTTCCTAATCCTCTGTCACATGGTACCTCCTCAGTCACCCTTCTCTGACTTGAAATCATTCTTCTTCTTTGTTCCTGATAAGCTTTATTATCCTCCTTCTCAAAAGCCCAAGAGTAGAAAGATACTAATAGAGAAAATGATTGATAAGTGAGATTTAAAAGTTAAACTATCGTGCATGCACAACAAATGGTACTTAACTGAAGTCGTTAGACAGTCAAAAAAACAACCCCAAAATTAGGAGAAAAAGTTAGACCATTGTTAATAAGAACATAAAATGTTTTGCTAAAAACTTTATACCCTCATCTTCTTCACTTTGCTACTATCAAGACACCCTGCAAACTTTACTGAAATACTTTATAAACATATTTTGAAAAATAACAAAATAAGGTATCAAATTCCATAAACTGAGATATATCTATCTGGGCTAAAATCCAAATCATTATTAATTTTCAAAAATTATACAACTTTTTCATCATTAGCAGTGTTCACTGACAAATGCTGAACTTATATAGTAACTCATTATTTCAAAGGCATGGTTAGTATCTTAAGGTAGAAAGAACAATAGAAAT